CTCCGTCGGGGTGATACTCCATTAGGAGTGTTCCCAACTTTAATGACATATATCATAATAACATATATATATATGGTCATGGTCATATATTAGTTTGTGGTTTAATGTCATTTAGGTTAGGGTTAGGGTTAGGGTTAGGATTATCAATCATTAATCATTAATCATTAATGATATCAAAGTTGGGAACACTCCTAATGAAGCGTTAGCCAAGTTGTTTGTGGCACAACTTTCAAGTACGGCTGTAATGCGATCATAGTGTAGTGTAGGCGAGGTTTTAACCTAGCATAGTATCTAGTATATTAGCATGCTATCTTTTCTAGTTGATGGGAAGTTTAATCTAAGTTGCCAATGTACTCAGTTCTCACAACAGGATAGTGTGATGCTGCTACGCAAGACATAACCTCGGTGTCTTATACCATAATATTGAAGTTCATGAATAAATGAATGTTAATTAATGAATAATATTGTCAGGTTAAATCAAACCACCGAGTACTGTTTGTATGAATTACAACTTAATGAACTATAACCAGGTATGAAGCATCTACTAATAACACATGAAGCCATCTTTAGATCTTTCTGTTTGCTATTACACCTGATCAGTATTTCAGGCGTGGATCGATGGGTTGCCGAGTGTTTCACGTCAACACGATTTGAACGGTTGCAATGATCAACACTGGCAATAGACGATACAGCCGAGTTCCACACTGTTGAGACTGTCTATGTGCACGTTGGTTCTGAACAACAACCGCTGTGTTGTTCATCAGCCAAACAGCAGTTCCGCATCATTGAAGTATGTGTTAGTTCTGAACAATTACTGGGTCTGCGTTGTTCATTAGCTAGGCAGCAAATCACCGAGATGCGCGTAGGTTCCTTAGCCAAACAGCAGTTCCGCATCATCGAAGCTGTTCATCCCGTAGTCGAGGTGAGCGTCTGTTCCAAACAATAACCACTGCATTGTTCCTCAGCTGAACAGCAGTTGCGCGTAATCGAGGTGCGCGTAGGTTCCGAACAACAACCGGCGCGTTGTTCATCAGCTGAACAGCGTGTCGTCGAGGCTGTTCATCACGTAGTCGAGGTGCGCGTTGGCGATCGCGTGAAGGTCCTTCGTGATGCCCATCAGGATGCGGAAGTTCTCTCGAATCGCGACAACGCCGCACGGCATCGCCAACTCGTCCGACAGCGACTTGTGAACCTGGTTGATACTGGCGAACACTGCCGCCTCCAGCGGCACGGCCGCCATCTTGCATGCGTCCGTGAAGCGCGACAGCCAATCGTAGTACTCCTGACTCGCAAAGTCGGGGTTGTTCACAAAGTCCTCGTCAGACGCGTGCGGAAGAGTCGCGACCTCGTTCAAACATGGCGGCTGCGCGGTCGGTGTCGTGACCTCGATCAAACATGGCGGCTGCGCGGTCCGGGTCGCGACCTCAATCAAACATGGCGGCTGCGCGGTCGGGGTCGTGACCTCGATCGAACATGGTGGCTGCGCGGTTGGGGTCGCGACCTCGTTCAAACATGGCGGCGGATCGACAGGGGTAGCGATTTTGTTTGGACACGGTGTAGGGCTCGCGACCTCATACTGATATGGTGTAGAGGTCCCTGTGACCTCGTTTGCATATGACGTAAGGGCTGTGACCTCGGTTGGACATGGCACAGGGGTCGTGACCTTGTTTGGACTTGCCTGTACAGCAGTTGTGACATTCTCAAGAGGCGACAGAGTGACAACGCTCGTCTCCGCCTCACACAAATCTCCGTCACATGTTCGCACGCCCGGCTGGAGCGCCACCTGGTGGTTGCTTTCTGCAGTTGTTCTTGTGTTGGCAGCCGTGCTAGGTTGCCGGCCGACTCTGGGGAGCGTGGTCACGCGCTGACACGCATTTCTCTGCGTTATTCCCGCATCATTGTTCGTCTGCGGCGGGGCGGCGTCCGCCGGCACGTGAATGACGTAGCGCGTCACCCCATCCTGCTCGCCGGGAGTCTGCGCATCCGTCGCCACGGCAACGTCCCCGTCCTCCTCCTCCTCCCCCTGCTGCTGCAGGAGAATCTGCGGATCGGAATCGGAGCCGTCTTGCACGATGCAGATGATCTGCTCCTCGCTCTCCTCTGACTCCACCTTCGATTCCGGCGCCAGCGTGTGATGACGCTGCGTTTCCGGATACTCGTGATGCGAGCGCACCTCAGGGTCGTTGCCATTGTCTGTGAGCGCACCGCCCGCCGCCGCCGCTGCCGCCGCACCGTCTTTGTAAATGAACTGTAGTGTGTTGTCCCGCGACTTGACGACGGTCACCGCGTCCGACTGGAAGTGCTTCTTGAAGAGGTGGGCCTTCAGCTGGCCGGCGCGCTTGAACGAGTCGGCGCACAGCTGACACACGTAGGGTTTCGCGTTGCTGTGTTCGCGCTCGTGTCGCCGGCAGCTGGACGGGTCCTTGAAAGCGGCCCCGCACGTTGCGCACACGTACGGCTTGTGGCCGAAGTGCGTGAGCCGGTGTCGCTTCACGTCGGAGCGGTGCGCGAACGCTTTGCGGCAGACGTCGCACGCGAACGGACGCTCGCCGGTGTGCGTGCGCGTGTGCGAGCGCAGGTAGTCGAGCTGCGTGAAGCGGCGGCCGCACGTATCGCACGCGTACGCGGGGGCGCCACCGTGCGTCGCCGCGTGACGCCGCAGGCAGCTTGCCTGACGGAAGCGTCGCGCGCACACGTCGCAGCGGTGCCGCCGCGTGTTCGTGTGCCGCGCCTCGTGCTCCTCGAGCGACGCCGCGCTGCAGAACCCCGCGTCGCACACGGAACAAGCGAACGGCTTCACCTCGGAGTGCGTCAGCAGGTGGCGCCGCAACGCCTCGTCCGATTTGAACGCCTTCGCGCAGTGCGGACACGGGTGCGGGCGCTGCGTCGAGTGCACCAGCGCATGCGTGCGTAGGTTCCCTTTCTGCGAAAACGTCTTGCCGCACACCTCGCACGCGTGCACGCACGGCGCCCCCTTCTTCCGCCCGCGCCGGCGCCCCCTGGTGGCACGCTGCTCCACGGCGCTGTCCTCCTCGCCGTCTGCAAACATGCGGTAAGCAGCGGACGTCGCGGCCGAAGTCGCTTGACCGTTGGTCCGCTCCAATACGCCGATTAGCTGACCATTGTCGTCAAACAGGTATTTGCGCGGCCGGCCCGGTCGCCTCTTCTGCGGCACGGCGGGCGGGGCCGTCTCCTCGCCGCCCGCGCGCAACCTTCTCCCGGCTTCCTCTTTTGAAGGGAGGATCACCTCGAGGTAGAGGTTCTTCGTGCCGCGTTTCGGCGCCGTTGCCATGCCAACGTCGGCGTGCTCCGAGGAGTATGGATTGTCTGCCGACGACGCCTCCATATTGTTTGCAACGTCTGCAATTAGGAAATTAATGGATCCATGTTTGGCATTCCTTAATGTGAGGGGTAATGACAACACTCGCTTTTAAAGTCACGCTTTCAAGCTAAAAATATGTATCAACACGGACAAGTACAGACCTTGCACTCTATTAACAAATGATAGGTTGTTTTCAGCTCCATTCAAGTCTCCTTCGAACGTAGCATAATCTCCGTTCTGTCTAGTTGTGCCCTTGTTGAGATTTTTACTGACGTAATCCCTAGATGATAAAAAATAAAGAAACATATTACATGTTGAACGTAAGGTAATAAATTGCATAAATTATGCAAAAAAACAAAAAGAAGTGACTTTACATCTTGGCCAATCTGTAGTGGCAAGCATAAAAGTAGTGCCAGATTAGAGTTAGAAAGGGGGGGTTAGGGTTAGGTATACTAATTAGCATCATTACTAAGGTTTTGTTCGATTATAGTTATGCCTGTTATTTAGTATATATACTATATCTCTACTCTAACCTTACATCTCTCATAAATCTGAAATATTGCGTTACCTGAACTTAGCTGGGTTTTGTTCAATTATAGTAAAAATGCCTATTATTTAGTATATATACTGTCAAGAGTAGATAATAACACATGATGTGTTATTATCTACTCTTGATACTGTGTATACTCGAACCTTACATCTCTCATAAATCTGAAATATTGTGTTACCTGAACTTAGCCGGTACGGCTCTCCTTCTCACTGGCAGACCTCCTCCTCGGCTTCCCACATCACCGCTTCCCTTCCCGCCGTAATGCGGCATCGCCGGCGCCCCTTGTGTGCGTTCGTGGAGCAGCTGCAACATCTCCGCAGCAGTGGCCTCATCTGCCGCAACGTTGCCCAACGCTGCTCGTTTCACGTCTGCAAGGAACGTCACCACGGGTTACGGTAAACATCCTAATCATGTACGTGAAAATTATGTGTCTATTCAAGCATTTATGCGTCGTTCAATGAAATTTGACTCGCGTACGTCGGAAATTATGACTCGTGGCTGCAAATTCCACTTCTAATTTTTAATGCAGGGATGAGATTGGTTAATTAAATTTTCAGCTGAAATTTAAATTAGCAAACAGAGGAGCGAGCAATGCGAGGACCGTAGGTCATCGCCATGCTAGGGGGGTCCGGGGGCATGCTCCCCCGTAATTTTTTTAAAAGAATGGTGCAATTTGGTGCATTCTAAGCTATTCTGAACACATTTTAGGAGACTCTTGAATCACCTTTTCAAGTTGTCAAAAGGAACAAACGAACTATGAATAGGAAATCAGGGGGCTGAAAATAGGGCAAGTTTTTTTATTAAATGTCTAGATATTTTTCTGTTTCCACCCGTCGCTTGCATTGTTTTACTCAGACATAAGCTGCCTTGCTGCGACGAGAATTGAATGAAAAAAACACAATGCGAATGGAACAATCAGTGCATAGTCATGCACACAACATGCACGCAGCAACATGTAAACCCGGCCCCCAGGCCAGGCATGGTCGTTACGTGATCAGCTACCTCAAATGTCTGCCCCTCTACTGCAGCCTGTGAACGAGGATTTTCTTTTCAGGTACGCAAAAACAGATACACTGTATACTTCGCTGTCAGCCTACTGTCTACACTCTACAGTCTACAGTCAGGTACTGTTGAGGGTATATAATTTAAATTGTTACATTGTTACCCCCCTCCCAATTTTCTCAACGAATTTAGACGTTTCACAAAAACGACCCCTGGGACTGTCAAATCCGCGGATTTCCGCGGATCCGCGGAAGAATCTCATCCCTGTTTATGCATATTTTTTTATTTTTTTATCTAATTTCGACCCAAATCCCACTTCTAATTTGTGACGGAAATTTCAAAGCTGCAAGGCCGCGATAAGATTTCTTGATACTCTTACCTGGTCTCCCATGCATTGTCAGTGCAGCTTCCACTAGAATGTTCCCTGGTGGTTGTCGCCTCCTAACTGGTCTGTCCCTGTCTGTCTGCTCTTCTGGCTGCCATGCGGCGCCATTCACGGGCGGCTGAAACAATAGAACAATCGACACTCTGCATATATGTTTCACGAGATGCACTGATCATTATAGTAAAAGCAACAATTACTTCTGTGAAATGAAAATCACTTCTTCCATAAAGTGGTGTTTTTTTGTTTTTTTTCGGTTACTTTATTTTATACTGGACTCAAAGGTTTAAATCCACATCAGTAGAACCCACTCCAGGAATCTGGCTCGGTCCAGTTTTTAGCAGCTCTTCCATTACACACTTTATTGAAGCAGATTTTTTTTACGACTGTATGCCCTTACTAACATCAACCTGTGACGGGAAGTTTTTCCACACTCTATCTCTTTTTGCTGAGTGCTAAGCAGAGAAGCAGTTTCCAAGTCTTTGGTATGACCCGGCCGGGAGTTGAACCCACGACCTTCCGCATGTGAGGCGAGCACTCTACCATTGAGCCATCGCTGCGGTAAATCAAATCGAAATCGCGGCATATCGCTTAGAAATTTCGACCAACCTTACACAAACATGAAACTCAAAACACTTGCAGTTAATGCATCCTGTCTTAATCCAGTTTTGACCAGAGTTCAAATACAACCAGATTACACAGACACACAGATTGTACAGTTCAGCACAAAATAGAAGCCTAAAATGTTATTCATGCGTTTACAGGCTTCATGCAATAATAAACTAGACAGAGGGCACTCAAAGAGAGTGCATACCTCCGCGAGCGTGTAACATGTATACATGTGTATAACAGCTGGCTCGCTGCTGCTGACTGGACGCCCTAAGCCGAGCTGCTGCCGACTGGACGCCCACACACACACGAACACACACACGAGAGCGATCACATTACCTCCCTGCAACTCCGTTGCGCGGAAGTAATTAGGATTAATTTGTAGGAATGGAAATGCAGGATTAAGTTAGGTCCCCACAATGAAATTGTAAATTAGACAAATACATTATCATGTAAGTGTTAATTTCAGAAGATGTAACATTGTAAATGTAAAAGTAAATAATAAAACTCATTTCGCATTATGTAAAGCAAATACATGGTGACAAAGAGAAATTGGTTGGAAAATACACAGGGTTAAGTTATTTAAATTAGGAATGGAAATGCAGGATTAAGTTAATGAAATGAATGTAATTATGTATCTAAAATGAAACTATGTAAATGAATTAAATCAATCTAATTAGGATTAATTAGGAATGGAAATGCAGGATTAAGTTAGGTAAATGAATGTAATTATGTATCTAAAATGAAACTATGTAAATGAATTAAATCAATCTAATTAGGATTAATTAGGAATGGAAATGCAGGATTAAGTTAGGTAAATGAATGTAATTATGTATCTAAAATGAAACTATGTAAATGAATTAAATCAATCTAATTAGGATTAATTAGGAATGGAAATGCAGGATTAAGTTAGGTAAATGAATGTAATTATGTATCT